TATATATAGATAAAATATTTTTATATATACACAATACATTAGTTATACCTAAGAATGTAAGAAATCACTGGTGCAATTAAATCTAAAGGTTTTTTTTTAAATCAACCTAGCAACTGACATTTTACTTAAATGCCTAAGCTACCCAGAAATACATTTAGTATTAGTGACAGTACAATGAATTATTATAAAGACTTCAACTTCTACAACGAAATAGCTAATAAAATTTCCTACTGGCACTAAAGTGACAGCAGTTTGTATATATGGCTTATTAATGTGAAAGACGCTTAGCAATGCAAGAGAAATAACTGCTGTCAATTTAAAATGAAAACTGATTAAATTCTCAGTCCATACACTAGTTTCCCCTCTCAATAGGCTGTTTAATTACTCTCCAAACTCTGGAAACTCGCCAGGAGGTATCACATAATACAAATGAGACATTAAAAAAAGAAACAAAACCAGAAACAACGTCTGATGAGGACTGTGCTTCTAGAAATGCTGGACTTAAGTCATGAAGACTGACATCATCCACCTCAGCATGGAGCAAGTACAGTGCATGAATATCATCTAGTTTGCTCATATTACCACCACAACATGCCTCAAAACCTAAGCTGAATAGTGACCCCATAATAGCTTAGTTTATGTTCCCATATAGCTCTTGACCTCTAAGACAGCAAAAGAAAAATGCTAGTATCAACTGTGATACTCTACCAGTTAACATGTTCCAAAACCAGAAAAAAAATCGGACATTTAACAATTTTCAGACAGTAACAAGCTAAAACTGGAAGGCTAAATATTACACTATTAAATATCAACAGTAACATTTAATATTGGCATTAATAGCAGTATTAAATGTAATATATAAATGATACAAATATTAAATATAATATATAAACCATATAAATAGCACTACTAAATAGATCACAAGTAGAATTAACTACTATTGAGTAAATATTACACTATTGTCCTGATATAACAAGCTTTTACATTTTACTAAATGTCAGGCATTATCTAAACAGGGAGCACATGCAGTGCCTGGCTCAGACATGTAACAGCACATGTAAGCAAACATGCACGTTACAGCTTTTAGAGCTAGACAGAGAAGCACGTTTTACTTACCCAAATAAGTGCTTTTGAACAGTGCAGTGCTGTTACTTAAATCCCTTGTTTCTACTGTAGATTTATGAAGTGAATGACCAAGCATGTGAGGATGTAACAATATTTTAAAGGAAATACCGTTTCTAGAGACTAGAACCCCCTAGAGAATTTCACCTAGTTGATACAAACATACAGTGCCTCATTTAGATAAAGAGTATTGTAAGATCTTAGATGACTGTAGAACAGACGCTACTAATATAGTTTGTGACCACCCTCCCCTGAAATAAATAAATGGATCTACTGTCTCAAACTTTTTCCAATATTCTAACTTATTTCCAGTAAGGTCCAGATTTATTCACTTCTGATTTATTACACTCACAAACTAAAAGTTTTCCCTGTGAAAAAGGCAGCTTAATGGCTCCATTACTACAGGGGCTTCTTGAAGTAACACTAAGTCAAAAATGAAGACAGTTATACGACTCGAGAATATTTCTTCTCGCTCTGCTAACATGATTTTTCCCAGCCTACCTTACTGAGAAAACAAGATGAAATATCAGTTCAGGATTACTTTGAAAAGACAGAGATTGTTGTGTAATTAAATACTGTGGTCTTGTCAACATCACTTCTGGCCCAATGCTTTCATGCAATTACCTACCCTCTTCTACCGTTGAATCCAGCTGCGTAACTTTGACAGCAAGGCGATCAATTCTGTCTTGAAGGGAATTTGCTCTGATGTAGAAGCTGTTGGCCTCATTAAACAATTCACCAAATATGTCTTCAGCATGTTTGCCTGTGTAAGAAAATAGACAGGGAAATCCCTTTGCTAAAGGCTTACAAAACACAAGACAAATGGCTTCAATATCATGAAGTTATAATAAAACACAGTAGCTGCAGGATTATAACAGCATAGTTTGTCATTCAGCAAAATTTTGGGCAACAGATTTGTACAAAAATCTCAAAAAAAATACCATAAATGCTGCCTGAAGTCTGCTCCCCTGGACATCCTGGTTAGTCTTCTACTTAAAAATCAGGGAGGCTTTCAAATTTTAATCCTTATGTAGCTGAATTACTGCCAACTGTCACACAACTGATCATTAAAACCTGCCTCTGTGATGAAAATAAAGACCCATCAAAGTTACTGCTGTCCATAAAAGCTTCTGAAGTAAATTTTGAAATCTAAAATCTTGCAGTCCATAGTCATTAAGATTTAATTATAAGCATGAGCACGAGCCAACATCAAAATGAAGGACAGGTGAAACAGATAAAACCCAGGATCCTCATGCAAGGCAGCCCACTTACCTCTACAAATGCTCACTGTATACTTGTTACCCTGTCACTGGAGTCATTTGAGAGACTGAGTAAGATGGCAGTGACCACATTTACCCATGGCCAGTCTGGACCCGATATAGCATGAATGAGGAGCCTACAACCTTTTCAGCCTCCCTTTCACAGGTGAAACAGATAAAACCCAGGATCCTCATGCAAGGCAGCCCACTTACCTCTACAAATGCTCACTGTATACTTGTTACCCTGTCACTGGAGTCATTTGAGAGACTGAGTAAGATGGCAGTGACCACATTTACCCATGGCCAGTCTGGACCCGATATAGCATGAATGAGGAGCCTACAACCTTTTCAGCCTCCCTTTCACCTGCCGTATTTTCTCAGTCACTATGAGAGTGGATAGTCCAGTTCAGATCTGCAGCCTCAGGCCCCACCCTAAGAGTGCTACAGTGGACAGCAGTGCCACATGATAAACCCAACCCCATCTTGGTCCACAGATCCTTGTGCTTGCCCATTCCTTTCCTAGACCTCCCTCCTCCCAGACTACTAAGCATCCTCATCCACAGTTTGACTCTCCTGCTGCCCCAGTTTGAACCTCTCGACCACTCCGGATCAGAATCCCCAATTTAACACTTCTCCTGACCCAGAACTTCCCCTACAAATTTCAGATTCCACCCAAATTCACTGCTCCTGTTCACTCAACTGACACTAACCGCCCCTACTTTTGTCTCAGTCCCTCCTACCCAGATACTGGTGCTTCATTTAAGATCTCCCCCTCCACAAATTCTGCAGCCAACACCCCTCTCAAGACATCCACATTCCACCAGTCCTCTGTGCAAAAAGCAAAATCCTGCCTCCTGCATTTAACCATGCTTTTTAAACAAAAATAAATTTTAAACCGCTATCTTCTGAATTAAACTCACCTTGTTATATGATCTGTATCAAGACGAGTCTGAAGAGCAGAAATGGAGGGGAGGGGGGAAATGAAACTTTGTCTAATTGTTGGAACAATAGGGAATATGTATTAACCACCTAAATGACAGTGACTTCCAAAAGAAAAGCAATTGTTGACATTTTAAGTTGGGTCCTATAACCAGTCTTAATATTTTACAAAGAAAAGTACAGACCTACTGAAAATCTCAGTCAAGATCCCATTCCTGTGAACATCTGGAGACCATAATTCAAAGTAAAAATAGCCACACGTTGGAAATCAACAGGATCTGCCCCTTTCTTGGATCATTTACTTGGGGGAATAGAACAACAACATCACTAAAACAATATCTGAAAGCAACTGTTTGTGAATTACAAATGAAAAAAAAAAAAAGTGATTGCCTTGCTTTGAGTGGAGGACTTTACCAGTAATAGAATTCTTCACTAAACGTAAGATCAGCCAATAACTAACCCAGAATGTTAGATATTTTGGTGTATCAAAGCTCTGCTTGGTACGTACGTGGAAGGTGGATAGGCAAGGCATGCTGCCTACCTGCTCCTAATCTCTTCCCCCTCCAAAACACAAGTCACACAACCACAGAATAGTTGAGGCTGAAAATCATCTTGTCCAACTCCCTGCTCAAAGCACAGTCAGAGCAGATTACTTAGGACTGTGTCCAGTTGGGTTTTGAACAGTTCTAAGGATGGAGGCTCCACAATTTCTCCAGGCAACCTGTGTCAGTCTCCAATAACCTTCACACTCTCTAAGTGCCTCCCAGCAGCTAGTTGAAATTCAATTATAATCCCCATTTGATTTACTTGCTGCAAATGAAGAGGTTATTCAAACTATAGAACAAATAAGCTTTTCAACTCTTCAGCTAAATAAAGCAGGTATTACATTCTTTAGCCATCAGCATGCAGAGCTCAAAACATCAATAAATTTTAATGGCTGTTAGTTTATGTTAATGTATTGAGATCAGCCTGCTGAGGGAAGACTGCCACATTGTAGGATTAAACACATCACTCCTGGAGAAGTCAAGCAGACAGGCGCTTGTCAGTTATCTTTCAGGAGGTAAAAGAAGTCATAAAGTTGATTTGTGGGAACATACTACTTTTAATTTTTTTTTTTTTTTAAATACTTGGTACTCTAAAACAAATGAAAGACAGGTTGTCAGCCTCCTGTCAGTAAAAACAGTGACATGGTAAATCAGTATTGGAACATGCTATTCTGATTAATGTGATGCAGTAAGTTTTAGAAATAAAGTAATAATTCTCTAGTGTTTTCTGTATTACCATCTTTTTAATTAGATTTTTAACAATAGAGAAACAAGTGGGGGGGAACTATTTGAATTTATAAGCATGTATCTTTCAACTTAAGAGCATATTTTGGTACTATAAGAGAGTTATTTAAAAACATGAGGTTCTTCCCAACATAGAGACAACCTAAATATTCATTAAAAAAAAACACTAAAGGAATTATGCAGTCCTTCCTTCTAAGGCTCCCTCCAACAACAGAAGTAGTTGAGCAGAAATTTAGTCATGATGCTGCGCCACCAAATCCCCAGTCTCCATAGGTTTTAATGCGAATTAACAGAAGTGCCTCTTTCTAGCATTTCTACAGGTCCTCTTCATAGATCTGTCTGTGTATTTGATTGCTCTCCAAGCATTGGGAGACATTTCTGGAGATCAGTAGTTCACAGATAACTGAAATCATAATACCTCTACCCAAGTTCTACAGTAATTGCATTAAGCATCATCTTGCCACATCAGCTTGTAACATCTCTAGCAGAGACTAGACATCACCTGAATTAATTACAATTGATTTTCACATACTGCACAAAAAGGTGTCCATTAACACATAGAATATGTTGTCCCAAAGGTATCTTTTGTCAGCATGCTCAAATGCTCAGTGCTGTAACAGAAGAGGAATCCAACAATGATGCCGACTTGTCTGAAGACTGGAAACCCAGCAGTGCTTATTACTTTGGCTAGCTTCCTTTCACATTGAGCCTAAAAAGTACAGCTTTCCTTTGCAGTCCTTGTTCCACAGCACAAGTACATGGAAAAACATGTTCAAGTTAATAGAAAGATTTACAGTGCATTAAAAGGACCACAATTTTTCACACCATGAACATACATTATCAAAGAGAAAAGGTAGAGCAAGGTCATCACCAGGCATTCAGGTGTCAGTTCTAAAAAGCCACTGGAAGAAAGATTACACTAGGGCTGCCCCAAAGGTAGCCAGTGCTGCCCCAATGCTCTCATCAGGGTCCTAGGTAAGGACTGAAACGCCCCACAGAACTAGCTGGTGTTTTTTAAGTTGGAATTCACCCAGGACATGACCATTTTATCTCAACATTGAGCAGAAAACAGTGATTCCACCCACCCATTTGTAATTGAATTAATTAGCATTAGAATCATGCTTTCCCCCCCTCTTTTTTTTTTCTTTTTAAATAAGCAAAAGTAGAAGGCTATTACTGACTAGGTCTTGATTCTTATCTGCGTCCTCATAGTACCTCCAGAGTGATACCCAATACCAAAAAAAGCTAACTTCCCAGCTCAAGCAGTGGTAAAGAGCAGAGTCACACAAAGCTAGATGCAGTGTTCTCAGGCCTGTGTGCAAATTTAGTGAAAATCTGAGCCAATCTACCCAAAAAAATACTAGGAGGCAAGCTGGTGGACATTGCTTTCTGCGTGAGAGAAAGTCTTCCAAGTCCCCACAGATCACACTTCCTCTGTTTTATGTTGTACAGCAAAAAAATATCAGTATCACTTGCATATAAGTCAAAGAAAGTAGCTCTGTACCTGTGTACGGATTGTTTATACTCATGTAGAAATAAGACAATCGGATGTAATTATTTCTTCCCCATATACACACATATGCAAAACTCAGGAACAAAACCATGGTGCAAAAGATCCTGTTGCACAGAGCAGCTTTTTTCACTGGCTGGAGTCCTGCAGCCATCAGACCAAACTTCACTGCCAAAAGTAAGGGAGTATTTTGCAACAGCTTTCTTCAAAGCCATTGCTCCATGACTGTGTTTACTAGGTAAAGCATCATGGTACTTAAAGGTATGGGCTGCAAATGCTCCCAGTCCTTCCCCCAGGAGATTCTCTCCTCCCAAGTGGAGGTGAATCCCCCTAGTCAAGTTTTTGCCCTATATAAAAGTGCACAGTTTCATACAGAACACTGCTCACTCTGCCTGTGCTCCAAGCCAGCTGGCCGCAAAAAAACCCAAATCTGAAGACATAATAGAAAAAAGCACCACTGAGAGCACATTCCCTTTGGATAGGAACTTGTTCATGTCTCCTGAAAAGAGCAGAGGCAGAAGCAAGCCAAATTTGTACACAACAGCACAGATCTGCCAGTTTTTAAAATCCACACTGAACTCATACTGCAACATTCAAAAACAGTGTGACTGCAAGACAGACCTGTACTTGCTCTCTCTATGCTTCAAGCTGTGGGAACACCAACAAGCTCTGATGCTGTCAGCAGGACATACCACATTAGCTCCAGCACAGCATTTTTCTATGATCATTTCCTTGCTCCCAGTTGGCTTTGAAACACAGGCAAAACAAACACTGTCTGCAGAAAAAACCCTCTGCAAACATCACAGATTTCAGACTGTGGACAAGCCTGGTGGTAGACTTCACTCATTAAATACCATGAATTCGTCTGTTAAAACACAGGATACATCATTTATTTGCATTGGTCTTTAACTTGACACTAATACTGTACTTCAGGGCTGTCTACAGAGACTTCTGATGACCCGAGAAATCCGCTAAGGGAAAAAATCACAGGATATGGATTGTGTAAGTAGCTAGTTCCTCAGCAACAACTGTAAGAGGATCTGAATACGCAATGTAACAGGCAGATTAGCCCCAAGACCAAATCTGGAGAAATGAAAGCTAGCCATTCCTAGCAAGTCAGACAAGTGAAAAGGGTATTATCCACACTTTGGCAATCATTGTAGAATACCAAAATGAGGTCTTATCAGATATCCTTCAATGTAACTAGGAGACATTAGCCATTCTTCTCGATTTTCTGAAACTGAAGGATGTCGATACTGAGCAACTGCCTAATAAAATGGCAATACAATACAAACACAAATTAACTATAAAGAACATTAGATACTAAATCGGCAGCTGCTGCTCAAAAAAGATCAGATAATCACTTGCAAGCTTCTCTGAAAATATCAATGTTTAGCAGCAATCAAAATTTTATAAATTCTTAGGGAACTAATGATAAACCAGGAAAAAGTCTGTTTTCATTATAATCTGAAGTCCTCAACACTCCACCTTAAAAAGATCCCAACATACTCTAACTTACATGTCCAAAGCAGAAATAACAATGATCAAAAATACAAAACTGTTTCTATCAAAAAAAAAAAAAAAGCGCTAACAGATCAGGACACTCCAACCTGGAAAAGGTATCACTAGGAGAACACAATAAAGACTGAATAAAAATCACAGATGATTACAGAAATACATGAGATTAAATCACCTTTCATTATTTTTCATAACTCAAGAACCAGAAGGTATCAAAAGGAATAAACAGACCAACTTCTAGTGTGGGACATTCTGCCACAGGTCATTGGGCAAGAAAAAAGTACAATCCCTATTTGAATACATCTAAGCAATTCCACAGATGATACATTTACAAATGCTCATTATTTAGGATGATTCAGATGGACCTCCAGCTCACAAAAAAAACCCTAAATCACTGACTACTTGAAAGGGGAATATGCTGTGTTTCTTGTACTCTTTCCCTAAGCATAGGCTATATCCTAGCATCACAAATAGAACACTGGACTTAGCGGGACCTGTAATCTGAACTCCATACAGACTTTCTTACATTCTTAAACCACTTCCATTTACAAAGTGAAGAAACTGATGAAGCAGTAATTTCTTTTCTAGGACCAGAGTTATCAGCACAAACAACAGCTGCTGATTGTTAAACACTCTCTGAAGAAATCTCTTTTCTCATTCATTAAGAATTATTATTCTTCTTGCAAGCACTCCAGGCATGCTTCGAGAATTGCTAGTTGTGCTGTCAACTGACAGGTGTACCGTGTAGGCTACTCTGTATGGAGCTGACACTAGCTTGCCTCAACAGTCGCCTACAGGTTTGTTCAGTGATTGCCATTCTTTTGATGTATGCACTCCATTTCATTCATATGAATTGATCACACATATATACAAAGAAAAGGCTTGAGATATATTAGCATATTAAGACAAACTGAAATTTCAGTCAAATGCGTCGTTTGATGCCAAGAGGCAGAACAGTTTGCTGGCTTCATCTTGTACAACTGAAAGCCAAGAATAACTTGAGTGCTAATCTTGCTTCTTACACCAATTTCTCTCACCTTAGAAAAAGGTTCCTGGTTTTCTATGCCATAGTTTTTTCATTGTTTTTTTGGTTGAGGATTGTGTTTTGCTTTTTTGCTGTTTTTCATTTGGTTTTGGGGTGTTTTTTTTGTTTGGTTGGTTGGGGTTTTTTTGGTTTTGGTGGTTTGGGTTTGGTTTTTTTTGTTTGTTGGTTTTTTGGTTGGTTGTTTTTTTTTTTTTTTTACACACTTGTAAATCTTAGAGAGGCTCTGCTTGTATTAACTTCAAAATACAGACAAGCATACAAGCAATGAAGTAGCATTATATTATTATATCACATAAGTGGCAGTGTCCTATATCATAATTTTACTATTTAAAACAAGCCATCTTAAAGTTTTTCATTTATGCAGTTTTTCATCAGGAATCAAATACTTGCAGGAAGTTACAGATACTTACTTAAGCTGCTTAGCTGGCGTATGATAGCAGCAAGGGTACTATTTGTTACACATTCCAGTTCACTAGTAATTCCCTCTGGCAGAGCTCCTCGGCAGAGATGCCGTGGTTCAATGTTCCTTTTCACCAAAGGCATGGCTCACAACCTGGAATTTACAGAAAAATATATATTACAAGAACAAAAGTAAGAGCTATAAATCTGTGCAGCACACATTCAGTTTTTTCTACTTCACCTTTCTTCTTTCAAAGCACTTGCTTCATCCTTCCTGCCATAAGATATTGTACAATTCCTACTGAGGCACGGGAGCCGTGCACTCAAGCCAGAACATGACAAGAGCACTGCAGATAAGCCCAGAGGATACAGTCTATGTAGATAATGTACACCAAATCCAGGCAGAAAGTGTAGTATTTACTGTCTACATAGACCTTTGCTCCAGTACCAGAATCACTGGACTTTAGTGCACATTTGCATTTGTAAAAAACTGGCAGTCCCCACAGGAGTGGCATTCCTGCAGCAGCCTGGCTCGCTGCCTGGGCAAGCTGGCCACTGACGGACTGTCTGTGCATTACAGCCCTCTGACTACGTCAGACACTGACCTACCCTTGCTTTGACAGGTTTTCAGTCGAAATTATAAACTCATCTGATGGATAAGGGCAAGGGCCTCACAGAAACAGGCTAGGTGAGAATAAGGAAGAAGCTGGAATGTGAGGAAAAAAGTTTTCCACAGGTGGTGCCGAATGACAATCTGAATGAGGTTAAGAGCAGGTACTGAACAGGTTTTGGGAGCATGCCAGATGCAGGAAGACATTTATCTAAGAAAACAAAGGCTGTCAGAACTGGTTTTCTTGGAAAAATAGAAGAAACTAGGATAGGGAAAACAAATACAAAAAGAAACCTCAAAGCATCACAAAAAAAAAATAGAAAACACTATCCTGCAGGGAGCAGCTTTGAGAGCAAGGATGCCCAAGTGGGACAGAATATGAATAATATCCTGTTTAAAGACCATGTGGCACCAAAATTTTCTGGAATGAGAAGTTAGTGTGCTATCAAGGGCATGAGTTCATTTACAAAAGACTTAACAGAAAATTTCTTTTTTATTGCACTGAAGCAATTAAGTAACCTTCCAATTTCTCTAATTAAAATCACATTAGTAAATTAAAAAGATCTTTTTGCTTTTCAAACATTGCATAGTAATTTTTGCAATTACTTCCCCCCCCAAGGTTTAAAATATTTTCTTCTCAAGAACATTTCTATAAAATCAACAACTTTTAAGTAATTAGCAAAAAGTAAATTATTCCACTGTAAGGAAGAAATAGGCCCATTACTTCTAAGCAGTAGTCTTGAACTATATATCTTTCTTAACATGAGACAGTTTATTTGAATATGTCAGAATTTAAGGCCAGTTGAGTTTGCAAAATTTTAAACCATACATCAGAGGTAAGAGAGGAACAATTTTTATTTTATATTAGACCAGAAGTCATCTTCTTTCTGTTCTATGTTTTTGTATTCCTCTATGAACAGATGCATTTTAAAACATTACTTAATATTCAATGCACTCAGTTTTCTGAACTTGATTAAAAATAGGCAAAAACTAGAAATTCATAATTATTGAAGAGCATCCTAGCAGCATCACACTGTAAACAGGCTAGCAAATTCCAACTATGAAATAAAAGTCATTGAGAAATTATTTCACTGCACAGTAAAATGTTCATAAACATAATTAGAAAGAAGTAAATTAATATAATATAAATCAGTGCTAAAGAGCAAATTCCAAATCTTAGTATTACTCCAACACACAAGCTACAGTTTTTGTTTTTCTCAGTAACATTAACAACGCTGTCGTACAAACTAAAGGCATAAAGACTCACTACAACTATGGCAACAGAATTCCTGAAATATTGGTGGGTAATTAGACATCTCCAAGTTGTCTTTCCTTGGAACTAATCTTTATGCACAATTCCTCAGTAGAACACTCTGGTGAACAAGGCAACCATTCTACTGGGTTTTGGGTTTGTGGGGGTTTGTTTGTTTACTTTTTTAAGAGAAGTACTGGGAATATGTTTTGCTACACCATTTTTTAACCCACCTTACTTAAATTCTTACATGAAAGGACCAGCAGAATAAAGCCTGGTTTCCCATGGCTTTCTGACTAACATTCTCAGAGCTGGCCCGCCTCTTACTTTTTACAGTTTACCTGACTTTCCCCCACCACCCCATGCAACATGCTGGGGCCAGCTGGAAGCTGGCTGCACGCTGCCCAGCTAACTGCCTCCTACCTCTTGAAACACCTATCACACTGAGTATAACCAAAATGCCTTTCACCAGGAGCACTAATTTAAGTCTCTTCTCCACTTCATGTTCTTCCTCACCTATAAAGACCAATTTGAAGAAAACATACAACCGCAGTTTGAGTTTTTCATTTTCTCATCAATTCTTTATGAAATGGTCCAACGCATTCAAAAGCTAGCAGGGGGGAGATAGACTGACCCAAGACATCCCATTTCTTTAAAGAGCAGGCTAAAACACACAGGAGTGCTCAGAGTGGGGGAAAAATAAGTTTCATTTGTGAATGCATGATTTAAATTATGTACCCACCTCATTTCAGTGTGAAGAATTCCAAAAGGTAAACTGAACACTGATGAGTAAATATATGCAACAAATTAAGCAATGCATTAATTAACTGCTCCTGATCAGAGGAAAAACAAAAAGCCTGCAATTGCAATTTTAAGCTTCTTCGAATTTAAAACCTTCCACTATCTGAATCAAACACTTACAGACCTATTCAGCTACTAACCCATTAGTAAGTAAAAAGCTCGACTTTGGACACTATGTGTCCTTGCCACTAAAGCACTACCACGCTTTTCTTCACCACACACAACTTGGACAAACTTAATCTTTCTTAAAGAAAATTCATGGGAAGTGAGGCTAAAATATATATAGCAGGAGGTTAAACAAGAAATCGAAACAAAATAAGCCTCTGAATTACAGGGGCTTCATCAGGCTCAACCAGGCTGGAAGGTAGTGTGTTACTAGGTGCAGGAAAAGAGTTGGCAATGGCAGTTCCACTGCCTTCCGCATTCATCTTCCACCTGTTTCGAGTCACACTTCAGCCCCAGCTTATTACTAGACAAGATATTCAGTGTGATACTCTGTCACTGTATTAAACACATTGGCATTTGGTCAGTCATACTTAGTTTTACAACACAGAGGTTAAGTAACAACTTCTCTTTGCTCCTATCCCCAAATAAATGGAAAACATAAGGCAAAGAAGTTGTTATTTTCAAAAACTGTATCAGTTCAGAAGATTGGGACAAGTCATAGTTGATCATCTTCTTACATATTTTACCCTGGCTAGTATGCAATACAGCCATAGACTTACAGGTAGGATAAACAGGTCCAGCTCCACTCCCTGCATGGAACCACCACAAGACACAGCCTTGAAGCTACCAGCTGTATCTGACACAAGAGATGATGGATCTAGAAAGATGCTATACTGCATATATATAATTGGCTGCACTAGAAACATATCACACATTAGCACCAGACCAGAAAAATGGGAGCAGGAGTCAAAGGCAGGAAGAAGAAAACTAAGAGGGTGAGATGTCGCTTAACATCTCACTAAATCCATGCGTGCCTCATTGGACGTGGATGGGACACAACATCTGGCTGGATTGAATTCTGACTGGAGCACAGACAGACACTGCTCTGCAAACCCCACAGGCATCAGCAACTGCACAGCTAACCTAACTCGATTTCCACACACATTCCGAAAGGACGGGACATCAGAAGCTTGAATTAGCTTAGCTCAGTCCATTAAAAATTCACATTAGGCGTGCTTCCTCTATATTCTCACTTCCCTTTTTATTCTTTTTTTCCCTTCATAACAACTTGCATAACCACCTTTTGTTTAAAATTAGAAGGCACTTATCCAGCAGTTATTGCTGTAGAGGCAAGCAGGGTACAGAAAGAGATAACAGAAGCATTTCCTCTTTTCTTTCTATGCTTTCCCTGTGGTTGCAGGAGTATCACTCCAGGTCAGCTCGGACCACCTTCCTCTGGATAACAGCTGTTAAACTGCATGTAAGAAGTTTGACATTGCCTTGGCAAGTCAGATTTTTAAAAAATCAAGTAGAAAGCAGATGTACAGTAACAAACATGAAAGATGACAAACACAACATACAATCTTTCCCAACAACAGCAGAGCATGGCTATTATAAAAGACAAGCTGGGTTTTCAAGTATTTGAGCAACTGGCAAAAACTCAAAGCAACAGCTGTTCCCCAAATCTGCCTTTCGCCCTTTCACATCCCCCAAAAGGCACTGTAATTTACACTAGCACTAAAAATATGTAGCTGAATTTCATAGTTCTTATATTAAAGTTTATATTCACAAATACCACAAAGTGAATGACAATTTCTTATACAGCCCCTCTTACTTGTCAATGCTTATTACATTTTCTCAAAGACATTGTTCAATCCTTTTTTTAAACCCTTAAGAGGTTTCTTCTTATATCCTCTAGTAAAATATAACAAAGCTGAACATTTTTACCATGAAAAAGAGCTTTCCATACATCCATCCTAAATTCTCCCTGAATATATTCTATTATTTTCAGGGAGCTTTAAACCTTTTTATTGATGAATCTCACACACCTCTATAAAAAGAGAAACTACCATAGTTCTCCTTCTATGGAGAACAAAAACATGAGATGGATTGAATACGCAGCTTGTCATATGTGACGTACCGTATGGGGTTCCATTAAAAATTAAGCACCTAAATTTGTATGACTACATATATATGAGCTCAGTGTCCGTGTCCCTCTTGAGAGCTCAGCAGAAGCCTAGAAAGAAACTAAATCACTGCATCTATTGATAGATAGAAGAATGACAGGGTGACCTCAAATACCTCATATGTAAGCTCTGCTATGTACCCACCTAAATTTAGGTGTCTGAACCTAGAACTGAATTTCACCTCATCAAAACCAGAGAAATACTGTCGGTTTCCTCACCTCTAGCCTTGCAACCAAGTTACACTACCTCCTAATCACACTGTCTCTATGCCTAGAGCATTTCAACATTTCAATTGTTTGCAGACAGTTAAGTTTTCCTATCCCTCATGTCCTATATTCAATTCAACATG